TTTATACTGGGTGTTGTTTAACATATTAATTTGTTTACTCACATAGGATTCCTGAAGGAGACTTTTTGCACATGATGTTGTTCTACCACTTCATTGTATTAGCTCTCTGTATATGGCTTGTAGTACTCTTTCAGGACAGTTTTTACATGTTATTAAATATTTATTTATTCTTGTTGCATTGCTAGCATACTCCTGCCCACCCCCCGAGCTCGGCGGTGCACCCCCTGCAAGAAGCGCCGCTGCCGGCAGTATCTGCAGTTGGCCGCCGCTTGCCACCCACCCTGTCTCGCTGCTGACACCGCCAGCAGCATTTGTAGGTGGTCCCTGATCACTACTGGCCACCGCCGAAACTGCCGGCGGTGCTCGCCAGCCCCCCTCCCTCCCCTCTGCTGCTGACACCACCGTGGCCACCTGTAGGAGCTCCCCAATCACCACTGTCACACCCTGGCCTCCAACACTGCCACTGCCACCTTCAGGTGGTTGATGTGCCCCCCCACAGCCTCCAGGGGCATGCGGCATTCATACAGCCAATTAGGTGAATTCATAACTTGGTTTTTGGTTTGGATTATTATTATGTGAGTGTACTTACTCCCCTGTTTACAAATCAATAAAACATACGTGTACTCTCTCACACACTTCCTAGGGATAATCACCTGAAAAACATTAATTACAACTTTGAAACTGCCAAGGTTGCCTAATATTGTATTGATATCCATTCATTTTTGGTAACGAATTTTACGAAACAATGAATTTTTAGAAATTGAAAATTTCACACAGAAAAATTAAGCATTGGAAAAGGAAGGTTAATTGGAGAAAGGTAGAAAAGAAGATATGTCTGTCATGGCTTATGTTAGGTAAAAATCTATATATCAGACAGCACACTGGCCTGCAGTCATTTCTTTCTTGTTCAGTGTTCAGTGCTCAAAACTATGCAATAAACAGTACTCACATACATGTACTATCCCTGAAAATTACTTGTTTAAAAAAATAACTGTATGTGAATACATGAGAGGGGACTGTATACCGTATTCCCCAATGTTCTACTTATTGTTATATTTGACATGCATTTATGTATTATTATTGTTATTATTTTTCACATGTTGAGTGTGTCTTGGAAGGACAGGATAACATTAAAAAAACATGTGCAAAAACATCCTGGTTGGAAACTGACTATATTACAAGTTGGAGCTTTCCTGGGCACTGCATAGCTGGTTCTGAGCACTTAAACAGTCTCCTCAGTGTTGATGATGCAAGATATATGCACCGTGAGAAGCTTCATGGCTCAGTGCTTATCAGTCCTTAATCTAACCCAAACTTGAACCTGAGACTGAGCAATGACACACTCTTGCATAGTGCTCCTCTCTCCTTTTTCTCTGGCTTTATCTTTACTGGAAAAAGCTGTAATTTTATGTTGTAGATAACTAATTTAGGTTATCTTTCTCAATGTAAAATTCAAATATATTTTCTATCTCACTCTGGTTAGGGTAGACCCTAAGAGCTGGCAGTATAGGCTAGACTTTTACTATCTACGCTGGAGGCAAACTACCTACATTGGATGTAAAATCTACTTGTGCCTTTTTCCCCACAAGGATGTCACATTGAGATGGCTAACTTGAGATAGCTATCTCAGTGCAAAAAACCTACCCCTCTTTTTGCAGTGAAAACATAATCTTTGGCTGCGTTCTGGTTTCGTGATATGCTTTTGTCACTAGGAAGGCATGACTTGAGCTCTTGCCAAACCCCAAATACAGCCACCCAAGCTCATCATATTTTAATGCTATCAATATGGATAAGTGTTTGATGTTAAACTAATTTGTTAATTTGAAAATTAACTAATTTTGAAAAATCTGTATTGCACATAAAAATAGCTACTAGAAAACAATTTGTAGTGTTGTCTAACAAAATCAGTTTCCTTTTGTCCTCTTATATCCACTAATTGCTGGTTTATACTCAATGGAGGGATCGGAACTGATTTGTTCTTTGGATAAACTGTCTTGTGATTTACCACTTTTACTTCAATACAGGGAATATATATAAGCCTAAGTTTGTCTGTCCATAATACTTTATTCACACTCTGATTGGCTGATGGAAACAGCCAATCAGAGTGCTGCAGGCATGGGGGAGCACCGCCATAATTCTGAAGATGTGCTGAGGACCTGACAGAGCACTGCTGGCCTTGGCTCCCCCACCCCACTCCCTGCAAGAGGCAGAACAGCAGCAGCATGGGGCATTAGGTGGCGGCACTCCATCCCAGCCCCCTCCCCTCTGGCCCCCATCATTTTTGACAGGCAGTTGGCTAGTACATATATAACTTAGAAAGAACTGTCTAACTGCTAGATTTGAAAGTCAGTTATCTAGTTTTTAGTTTAGTTTTGAAATCTTAATAGGAAAATACTTCTATCAGTAGAATTACTTGCCAAACCCTAGATGCTAGAGGTCACTACCACAAACTTTTTCCTGTTTAGATGATGGAGTCTTGAAATTTAACTTTTAGCAATTATAACCAGATAAATCAGTGGTTCTTGTCATTCATCCCTCTAAACACATTTCTCTTTTTAACTAGCTTGCCTGGCTTTTGCACATTTGGCTGTGAAACTGCTATTTTAACTCAATGAGAATATTAAGGAGGCTGCCCCCCATTATTTCTGAAGACAAATAGTCCAAATGCTGCCTTCGCAATGTCCTATCACTGACACCCGGCTTTCATTTACAAGGTGAAACTTTATCTTTAAATTTGCTGCTGATTGATGGTACAACAAAGGGAAAACTTGTGCAGCTTCCAACTGAGCTATCCTTGTTTTGTAGGTAAATAGAAGACAGACCACTTCAAAACCTGTAACTGACAGCTTTTAAGGGAACAGACTTTCACTTTAAATAAGGACAAATCCAACTAGAACAAAGTCAAATAAAACAAATAAAACTCTCTTTGACAAGATTAAAAGTGATCATCATTTGCAGGTGATGAATTAAATTTTTTTTTTTTTAAATCACATGTATTTAGCAGATTACCTCTTGTTATTTTGTGGGCTCCCAGAGTATTTCTGTGTGGGGGTATTTCTATGTGGTACTGAGAGATGCTGTTGTCATGCTGCACCCTCTCCACCATCAGTTGTGTAGCTGCATTAGTATGGAGTTGAATGCAAACTAATAAGCTCCATCTCTCAGCATAGCTTACCGCTACACATAAAATGTCACACTAAGGCTCCCTCTACACATTTCAGGAATTGCTAAATTAACTGGTAAACTGCACAATTACTTGGAGACTAGCTACATGCTCAAAGTACTTATCACACAATAAAAAAGCTCTAACCATGTATAAAGTTAGGCCTCAAAACCAGAAACTAACTTTATAGCAGGTTGCTATTGAGTTTTAATTTGCATATGCAGCAGAGTCTCCCCTGGAGCAGGAAACCCTGTTAGCTGATGGAAATCCCCACTGGAAGGTGCAACATGCCCAGATGCAGCTGGGAGTTCTGTGACTGAGGGGACCCTCAGCCCCAGCAATTGCTACTCTGGATCCCAGCAGCTGGGGGACATGGCTGCCCTGGGGGTACATGAAAGCCCCAGGATTAGGGGGATTATGGCAGCTCAGCCTCAGGTACATAAAACCTTTGGGATTGGGGATTGTGGCCGCTGCAGTCACCCAGCCTTGGGGGACTGTAAAACTGAGGGGAATCCTACCTGCAGGATAAGGCTTTCCCTACACCGGCAATAAGGCATGATGAGATCTAATGCATCATCCCACAATCATGCCCCCTGCCATGCATGTAATAGCATGACAGAAGGTGTGATTGCATGGATTGTGCATTAGATCCCTGTTGGTGCAGTACAGGATAGGACCATGGGCCGTGGTGGCCCTGAGCCCAGCGAGACTGGGCTGTGAGGAAGTGGACACACCTGGTTCAAACACTAAGCAAGGCCACCCAATTCTTGCCTGCCATGTTTTGTTATTGAATGTTTATTTGTTGGGATGTGGCCTAAACTGTTGCATGTTGGCCTGGATGCACCAGGTCTGATTCTTCTTTGGGGCTCCTACCTCCCCTACACCCCATCTAAGTGCCACTCAGCTGTTAAAGCATCAGTTATGCCCTTGGATCTCAATGTGCATTCTCCTTCTTTTCTTTGATCCTTTAGGCCTGCAATTCTCTTGTGCCTGGCTCAAGGATATGGCAGCTAAGCTGGCCCCAAAGGTCATTCTGTTGAAGTCTGGTAAATGAAAGAAATGAAGAACAACACAAAGCAAGGAAACTGGAACTCAGGTATGTCTCTCAGCCCCTAGGGCCATTATGACCACTGGCTGCAGCCTCCAGCAACAGAAAAAGTAGGCCCGAGTGCTGCAGGCTATTCCCCTCAGGCCCGGCCCTATCGGATAAACAAAAGCAAAAAGAAATTTATGAGAATCCTTGGACAATTTCACCTACAAACTTGGGCATTTATACCAGCCTTAGATGCCTCAGTATCAGACCCCAATGCTTCTATAGCACTCGTTAGTTCCCAATGAAGGACAAGCCCCTTTACCAGCCCTTATTAAATTTGGTTCTGTTCGAGTAATGGGGTCTGATCCTTCCACCAGTATCTCTTCAACACAGGGCTGTTGCTGGTTTTCCTTTTTCTGGGTGGCTGGAAGTCAGCCTAATAGGATTCCCACCATCCAAAACAAAAGTAAACAGATACTAAAACAAAAGGACCTTGTTTGGTATGTTGCCAGCTCTCCCACCCAACCTCCCAGTGTGGCTTCCTACCAGCTGTCCTTGCAGCTATCACCACTGCAGTCTTGGTGGCAGCATTCTGGATTGTCAGAGCTCCTCCAAGCTCCCAGGCTGAGAGTCAGCCCTCTCTCTGTCTCCCAGGGTTTTTTATATGGTCTCTTGATGCTCCAGGGGTTCTGCTTCCTCCCTGTGTCTGTTCTTCCCTCCTTCCAGTGTTGGCAGTGGGCCAGAAATACCAGCACAGCCACAGGGAGAGCCAATCCAAGCAGACCAGCTGCTAGTAAAGCAGGGTTCCTGTGGCCACTGCAGGCCTGTTGTTGTTGCTGGCTCCAGCAGGACGGGTAAGTTTCTTCTATCTATGACTGTGGGCTCAAAAGGGGCTTTTCTCACCTCTTCACAATCTCACTGCACCTTTACCTACACATGTAGAAGGGTCCTAACATAGCTACCCTATTTCCAGTTTGGAAACTAGCATATGGAGTGGATGCAGTATGTCTCATCTCAGCAATGCCTTAAAATGTGCAAGGCATTGACTCATATAGATTTACCTTTAAATTACTGAGGATCAATGATCTGCTAATGTAAATGGGTGCTGTTCCATTGGTTTTAATGGTTCATTCCCCTTGTAGCAGGTTGCCCTCCCCAGTGGCATTTTTTGTGGCCTATGAAGGGCACCCTTGAAATCCCTTAATGTTTCACTTCTATCTTTCATCTCATATCCTGCCTTTACTTACCTGCCGTGTCTCGATGTAAATATTCATTAGATGTTCCTACAAGTGGGACACTGCCTATTGTACTTCTATGTTGGGGTTCTCAGCCACCACAGGCCTTGCCCCCCTTCCTTCTCTGGCTAGGCCTACCAGTCTAAACCCACCAGATAGGGTTTGATTCTGAGGCTCTACCTCCTTAATCCTCTCTGGATATGTGGCCCTCCTTTTGCTTTCAATATGGAGCCCAGGCTTTCTGACCCAGAGGCCCATATACTGGGCATGGAGCCAGAAGGCTGCAAGCTCCAGGCTGGGCAGTGGCCCAGAGTTCCGACTGCCCAAGGGCGCCCTTTCTTTTAGCTTGGGCTACTAGCCAAGATCTCCCCACTGGGACGCAGCTTAAAAGTTCTGCAACCAGCTCTGAGCTAGTGGTCCTATATGGCTGCACACACTAGTGCCCTAAGCCCTTTGGCCTTTTATGACTGTGCCCAAGGTGCTAATGAGGCCTCCTCCTCCCCTACAGCCCTGACCACAAACCACCAGTCAATCAGTCAAAAATATAAACAGGAAGTCCATGGCCTATAACTGCAAACAAAAAAATTAAAGAAGGCAGCATGCCAGCTTACATTTTTTCCAGGGCTCTGTGCTTCTGCTTCCTACCATCTGTTATGGTCCTCCTTGTGGGGCTGCCACTGTTTCTTCAAGAGTCATCATGAGTTTCCCTCCCACAGCAGCTGGACAGGCAGCCAAGCCTCTCTGTGGAGCTCTTATGCACAAACTCCTTCCCCCTTGGCTGCTGCCCCCAACTGCCACCAACCCCAGGGTTTTTATAGTTCTGGCCTGCCCCTTCTGGTCACCTGACTAGCCGGCCAGGCTCAGCTTTTAACCACTACCCTGCCAGCAGGCTGTTCCTGAAAAGTTCTGTTCTTAAAGGGACCTGCTTTCTAGTAACAGGGCTAAGGTTCTGTTATACCCTCACATGCACCAATTACATCAGCAGAGAATTTGACTCTTAGTCTCTCGCAACACTAGAAAAATTATCATTCTTATTCCAGCTGCCATCAATTGGGCCATTCTTTAGTGGTAGCAATGGTGCAGGCAGTGCTCTACCTTTTTAAATATCATGCCATGAAAAACACCTGAGCCCTGCCTATGCTAACAGCTTGTCACCTGTACAGCTGCACTGTTGCTAGCTGTCACTGTAATGCACCTAATGATTTCTCTAGTGTTGAATCACTCCTACTTATGTCATTCCACTATTACATCGCTCCTGGGCCTGTTCTGTCATGTCTGGTAGAAAGTGGAACTACCAACATAAGGTGATTTAAACAGCTATAATATAAATCATGCTGTGTTGCAGTAACTGAGTATCTTCTAAACCTACTGCTGCATGTTGTCCCAATATAACCTTTATTCTGAGACATTTTAACCATCTCATCCATATCTACTGGAGACAAACTGAACTTTCCCACTGAGAGATTTTTTCAGGGCAGCTGGTAAAGAGAGTGTTACATATTCCAAGAATGCATTCCCTTGTTTTTGCTATTTTAAGTGCACCTCAGGAAGCTATGATAATTACTGTGCTCATCAACTATAGTAATTGTCGGGAACAACGTTCATATCAGATAGAGTTCATATTGCTATGGTAACACACAGTTAGTAATAATGGTGCATGCAATTTTAGAAAAGGGATCCCCAGTTAGAAATCTTGATCACCTGCAGGTGCAAAGGATTTTTCCAGCCCACCCCCTTCTTAAAATCCCTACAAGAAAAGTCCGCTTTCATTGGAAAAGAATACTAGTTAACAATTTTTTAAATGAAGCCAGGACAGATTGGAAGAACCTACTCTTGTGTTATATTGCTGGGGATTAGAACACATGCACTACAACAGCTGGGGTAATTTATAGAAAAAACAGACCCAATACCAGGGCTTCTTAAACTGCTATGGCTGTATAAAATCACCAGGAAGTGGGTGTAATTGATATTGTAAAGTGGGTGTTTATTAAGTTACAATTACACCTTCTTTAAGAAGCTATGAAGAGGACTTGGGGCTTTGTCTACACTGGTAAATTATTTTAGATTAAGGCCAGTGTGAATCTAAACTGCAGTGACCATTATGAAATAGCTCTCTAAGCAGACTATTTTATGGAATAGTCCATTTTAACAAAATCCACTTGGGTTAACGGGAAAACGGCTCTTCTAATCCAAGCTATTCCCATCCCTAGATAGCCCTTTTGTGTAAATGGAATTCAAGACCAGCAACTGAAAATGCTGCTTTTTACAGTCTTCTATACAGTTGATACTATCAGGACTAATGGAAATTGGCATTATCATCTATGAGGTAAAAATCATCATTGGTAGTCATCAATCTCAGGAGATCATGGAGATTGTGCCTTTGGTCGGTTATCAGGTACCATCACAGCTTCTTGAGTGGCTGAGAAGTCCAGTGCATGACAAGCAGACTCTCTGGCAAGTTGCACATAAAACTCGGTTGAGCTTGCACCAGCATGCCGAATACAGGCTTGTCTTGCCTGCCTCTGATGTCTCGTCTCTATCTCATCATTGATCTTTTCTATTGACCCTCTCCATTGAGGTAAAAATAGCAGAGGTTAATTTCCATACAGGTCCAATCACTTATTGTTCAATCTTGAGTACAATCCAAAACATATATCTTTGCAAAGAGTTTCTCTCCATACTCATTGGCCATCAAGTTATTTTTCCTCCTTCAAATATTTCCATAGAAAGCCTTGTGCAAAGACATCTCCACTGGCTCAATAAGGCATTTGTGAGTCTTATACAGTCTAGTATAGAATTGGCATAAGGGTGAGAGAACTGTAATCAGGTCCCTTTTGGCAGTCCATCAGCAGAAGCTAGGCATAAGTAAAGATCTACAGTATGTACAGTACTAGTAAATTATCATATAAATAGCCCCTAACTTTTAATTTCAAAATAAAGACTATTTCTGCTGTATTATTAGACTATTTTAGCCATATAAATAGTTACCATTCAGAGAATGAATTTTACAATCTGGCATTCATGTCACATTGTTCTATAGATTTCAACAGAGACAACGGGTCAAATCTAACCTTGATGTAAGCAGGCAGAAGTCCTAGTGAGTGTAATGCCTAATGATAGGCTGAGAGGAGGAAGAGATGTTTTATTGCTTCTGAAAATGATTGCTTTTAGTCCACTAAAAAGAAGAGGTAAATTTGTCTGTATTTACATATGTTTTTTTAAAGGAAGTATGATGCATACAATGAGCCTTACATATCCTAAAAGCACTCCAGACATCAGAAAGCCAGGAATCCAGTGCATTCTTTTATAGTCTCAATTACTGGTGATTTTTGCATTGTTACTGCTCGTAATAATTGTACGATGAACCCATGCAATGCAACTTTAAGAAAGCAGAGCACTTGCTAATTTTTGAGGCCTTGAGAAAGCCTGGAAAGCTTCCCAAGATCTTGCCGAGTTAGAAAATTCTATTAAAAAAACTTCAACTGCCTGATAGAGAGAAGTTCTGTCTTTGATTAAGACTTATTCCATAAGAACAGTCTTATGGTTGGCTATTTCACTCAGCTCCAGAAGACTCCAGTATTCACCTGGGTGTCCTTATATACCCTTCCTTTCATGTCATTGCTGATTTGATGCTGCAGGTTGCAGATGCTGCTCTTCAAATCAGGTCATGCATGCTCTAGCTCATTAATCTCTAATTTTTTTTCCAGGTGTCCAGTCTCTCTCTATGTTTCTTCTGGCATTAGATATTCTTATTCAAGTTCCCACCACCAGAGCAGCTGCAAAGGCAGTAGATAATAGGATATTTTTCTTATTCCATTTTCTTTGTTTCTGCACATGCCTCTGCTTGACTCTACTCTGTTTTGTGAGATGGAATTAAGACTGAAACTTCTCTAAGTTTTCAATATTTTTCTGTAGAAAAAAATTTCATACACATTCCCAAGTTCTTGTATTTTCTACACAACAATAATTCCTGTAGTTTTGAGTAGGAGTTTTCTGTCCAAGTCAGGAGAGAAGAATTTGGACCCTATCATGTTGAGACATTATAGTAGGATTTTATTTTCAGTTATTTAGGACCTCTCTACATGAGCTGGTTCAGCCAGTCATATAGAGCAGCACCTCAAAAGGTTTAATATTTTTTCTCTTTTCTTTATCTTCTGGTCACAGGAACCACAATGCCTGAGCTGGAAATTACCATGGCAGAGCACAATATTTCACAGATTTCATAGACATTGGGGCTGGAAGGGACCTTGGAAGATTATCGAGTCCAGCCCTCTTCTCCCTTGGGCAGGAAGTCAGCTGGGGTCAAAGGATCCCAAAAAGATAAATGTCCAAATGTCTCTGAAAGGAGTCCAAAGTAGGTGGTTCCACCACTTCTGGTGGCAGTCTGCTCCAGGCCTTGGGGGCTCATACAGTAAAGCAGTTCTTCCTTATGTCCAGCCTGAAATGGTCTTGGAGGAGTTTGTGACCGTTTGACCTTGTCATTCCTTGGGGCACTCTGGTGAACAGGCGTTCCCCCAGATCCTGATTTACACCCCTTATATACTTATAGGAAGCCACCAGGTCCCCCCTGAGCCTGCACTT